TGTACAACGATAAGCTCTTTGAATAAAATTCCACAAATCAGCATTATATCAACAGACCGAGTCGAGGAAATTGATATAGATTTTTAACGTTGCTATACTTTCTATAGCAGTACATGCGGTCTGTGGAAGTCTTTCACAGTTTCTATAAGCCGTGCGACTTCTAGTGGACTTTCCTGAGAAACGACCTTCAAACCTTTAAAAAAAAGATCATACTCTCTTCAAGGTGTGGGCTGCAGTAACTGCTCATTTGCCCTATTATCGTAAGCAGAATAGACAATAATCCAACCGTGATTGTTCATCAAGTTGGGTTGTGATCGGAACAGCACCGGCACTCTGTAACTTCCAAGAGCGACAGCGATGCAATGCCGACTTTAATTAAATTCTATACCACGAGATTCTAAGTTTTCGTCACGGCAACGGATATTGCCTTTACCAAGCAGCATTCAAAAACTTCAGACTCGATATCAGTATTGGAAGTTACAGAGTACTGCCGCTTCGATGAATTGAGTTGTTGGCCGAGGCCCGAGCTTCACATATAACACATAATCACAATTTACGTGTTGTATAAATTTCGTATTTTCCCCAGCTATTCCCACATTTTTTCATTAGCGCTGTCTCATCGTTATTACTTTCACCGTTAACAATGGGTGTATAACTGCCCTATTCATATCACTCTTTCTATGCCCATTGTTTCATAATTATTAGGTGGAAATGGAATATCAAGAGCGCGCTAAGTTGGTACCTGTATTTTGTTTTTATGTGCCAAAGGAAAAAGAAGGTAGAAATCTTCACATTTGTGCCTTAAGAAACTGACGAAGATACACCCGAAGAGTGATTACAATTAGGCGCTGAATAATGTAGTAAATAAGTGTTTTAAACGTATAAAAAATAATGCATATAGTTCTCATTTATGTATTACATTATACATAGATTACTAGTAGGCAGTATGCAAAATAAATTGAGGGAAATCTGTATAATCATAAATCGTAAATTAGCGGGATTTGGAGTTTACTTATGTATTAATATATATAATATGTGTTTAAAGGAATATGAACTGTTGCGTCGCCATCTTGCCGAGGGAAGCTCCAAAAAGGACCCACCAAGGGTTCTTAAATTTATAAATGTTTGATTTGAAAAGTTTAAAACTTGAGCGGTTATTTTAAAAATTCTAGCAAGCTTAACTCAGATCTCTCTACTCATGAATTCTCTCGATATTAAACAGGGGAATAAGATTAAGACCCGTTAGCAAGTAGTGCAAATACCACCTTATCCACAAAACCGACTTTACTGTAAATATTGGAAGAGCATCGTGTACACTAGGAACCCCTAATCATTATTTCCTTCAGATTCCAACTCCTTTGATGATGTATACTGACTTGATGTATCTATCGGTATCTATAGAATCAAAGACAAAATTTAGTCTAACTAAAATCCCACAAAGAGCAGTATTGGCCTAGTGGCTTAAGAGTGCGAATCTCATCCCTGAGGTCATAGGTTCGACCCCGGCTGTGCACCAATGGGCTTTCTTTCTATGTGCGCATATCGATAACTGCCTAACTAAAATTGTAAACATAAATGTCAGTATAAGACCAATTTATCTATGGAGAATAACAAGTATTTATATTTAACAGCGCGGCATATAAAGCTACAGAAGTGTCAAAGATCGAGAGAACGATGTATGATAGGTAAGAAAAGAATAGACAAAATAAAGAATACAGGTTTAAGAAAAATAAATAAACGAAATGGAAATGAGCGGGGCAGGGCACAAGGCAAGAGAAACAGAAAAATGGAGCAAAAACATACTAAACTGGTGCCCAAGGTACAAACGAAAAAGAGACAACCTAGAGGGTGGATGGACGAAATGAAAGAAACAGCAGGTGGCACATGGCAGAGAGTGGCACGGTGCAGAAAGGAATGGCGGGCTTTGGAGGAGGCTTTTGCCAAAAAGGGCACACAGATACCTAATAGAAGATTAAAATAGAAACCTGTTTCAATGTAAAGGTATCTGAATTAAAGGATATTATTATTATTACTATATAACAGCATTTACAGATCACTAGTATACATTTTCAATTGCTAAAATCTTCAAAAGTCATATGTTTGAAATCTCGGAGAACTTAAGTGTAAACATTTTATTATTTACAATATGAACTGAACACAAAGTTGAAGATTTTCATCAAGGCAATAAACAAGCCTCTTGAATCGATTCACTTAACAATACAACATTATCCTCGATGTAGTTACATGAACAAGATTCCAATAGCAAACGGCTTTTTAAAAACAATATTCAATTTCCTTGCCATATTTATTAGTATTCTGTACGCTGGCGTTTATTTTTTTATAGACATAGAACAGGGGGAAAACGGGCAGGAGGCTCACCTGATGTTAAGTGCTCACAGTGCTAGAGGGCTCGCGAGCGCGTTGCCGGCTTTTTAAGAAATTATTCGCTGATCCGCTTTTCTTGAAGGACCCTAAGTCGAATTGGTTCCGAAAAATTCCATAATAATAATAGGCAGCTGGTTCCACAGTAGAGTTCGGTTGTGGAACGACAGAGGTCGAGATGTTACGGGTGTAATTTAGTATTCTGCCTCGACGTCCGATGATGAAACTGAGCTGCAGCTTAATCTTAAAAACTCCTCTGAATACTCTCGCTAATGCGGTAGAAGATGCAGAGTGACGTAACTCTTTGGTGGCACCTGGCAATCACATTCCTGCATCATATGTACCCAAGTCTTTCTCGCGATGTTTTTAAGAGTTAATTACGCGAATTAAAATAGCAACATTGCTATTTAACGTATATTTTTGCGACTAAAATATTGTATGTATTACAAAAATCTACTGTATTAATAAAGAAATATTTTAAAAAATAAGTAACGACAACCTGTAGATATTAAATATTATCAAGTTTCTCAACAGGAAGGGGTGAAAACCAACCATTCATGGCTAACAAGGACAAAAAACCAAAATGTGACTCAGCGTACAAAACATAGTAACTTAAAACGTAGGTTGGTCTTCCCTCTCTCTTACACAAATGCCAAGGACAGAGATAGTGAATGTAAAATTGCGAACCGGTTAGAGATACCACGAGGAACGAGTCATTTTTATTTTTATCCCATGAACTGTTTCGTAAGGCAAGTGTATACTGTATGCCATGAGTTTGATAGAATATAAAACGGTAACGCAATTATGTTCATTACATGTTTGGAACATAATTGCACGTAGAGGCGCTGTGAGATGTTTCTTACTAATATGTTATTATTAATTACTTATTAAATAAATAAATTACTGAACAAAGTAACTAAAGATTAGAATCGCATATACTTAAAGACCATGGCGTAGTAGTTAAATCAGCTTTATTTATTTTTTTATTTTTAGCCTTATCTTATTTCCTAATACAAAAATATCTAATTATCTCATGTGTTAGTGAATATTTTTTACAGTTAGTATGTATCAAGAACCCTCTCCAGTAAATCAGCTTACAAACTCAAAATATATTTTTTCGTGGTGGTAACTTATAAACTTCAAAAACAAAACATTACTGCGATATTTTTCCGCTTTAAATAATTATACAGATTATAAAAATATCAAGGAAATATATGCTGATAGAGTCTGGCTAATGAAAGAAGATAATTGAATTATTTGAAAACTTTCGGATGGCAACACAGAATGTATGATTTATTGTCTTGATACTTCATGCAATTACTCATTTTTATTTCTATTGTATATATTTTTTCAAATAGTTAACAGGTATAATAGCCTCAACTTTGTTTTATTTTATAGAATTTGTTTTATTTTTCTTTCGCAGGATTTTGATTATTCCGAATAAAGTTGTGTTTTAATAATAAATATAGTTTTAGTTTTCCATGCAATGCTAGTCATATTAAGTAACAATAGTAAAATACTAAATACGTATAGTATTTTCGTTATCTTCTTTCATTTGCCAGACTCTATGCGTCTAGCCTGTGCTCGTTATTCGGAACTTCATACGTACAATAATGAAACTCTTGAATAAGTAGGAACAACTTTTCACTTCAAAAAATAAGTACTACGCTAAATCACCTAATAAAAAACATTCACAATGCAAAGTTAGAACACAGATCGTAAATACTAAAACGTATGTACAGTTAATGAAAGGAATTCAAATCCGAAATATGCAAGCAATTAAACGAAGGAAGAGATATAGCTCTGGAGCCTTTTTGCCATATTCACATATTATAAGTACGTAGCTATGAATACATGTAAAACTAAAAAAATAATACTTAACAGAAACGACGGTAACGGAAATAAAACTTCCGTTCCGACGGGGACTTTAAATGGCCAATAATGTAAAATTAAATTCCTAGTGAATTTACCTTTTTTTTATAAAATTCGCGCTATAAATGATACGTCTAATTCTGAATTAAAACTGATTAAATAAGATAAAAATTTCGTTAGATTTATAATCATTTATTCATAAAGATAATCATTTGAACGTATAACGAACTCAAAAGATTAACGAATACAATGACAAACTCACCCATTGGTTACGAACACAAGTTCAAGGTCAACAAGTCGTCAATAATATCATAGACTCTAGAGAGTCTATGCCCACGTTTTGTAAGCTGTGTCGAGCTTACGACATAAACACGAAATATGAAGTTTATCTGTTATAATAAAATCTATATTGTTTTACAAAATTGTTATGAATTTTTACTATTTCACAGTTTCCGGTAAATCCAAAATGAATAAACCCGACACTTTCGCCTCGTTACCGTCAATTTGATGCGAAACTAACCGGCTCAAATCGATGTGTGGCACCCAATTTGTATCTGACAATGGACCGAAATTGATACGTGACATTTAAAACATTTGTCATGAACGTAAGAAACAGGTGATTCAAAATTATTTTATCTAAGCTTCTCCCAAATCGACAAGATGAGACAAAAATATTCTAACAATTCAACATATTGATAACGATGTACCAAAGCAAACCAAGACAGATACTTCGGAGAGACGTTTGCATGTCTCGCCGCATCGTACCAATACGTGGCGACGGTAACTGTCTTTTTAGATCGGTCTCTTATTGTTTGTTCGGGACGCAAGAGAAACACAGGGAGATACGCCAGCGAGTCGTCGACCGAGTTGTGGATAATTGGATCCGATACAAAGATTTCATAATCGGCGACCGATCATACGGGATTTGTATACATCAGGCGTCTGACTATCGCAATTTAATGTCCAGGGATGGTGAATACGCCGGTCATGTTGAGCTGCATTGCGTGAGTGAGTTACACCAAGAGTTTACGTTCGTCGTTCACATGAACTCAGGTTTAAAAACAATCGAATACGGTCACGGTAGGGTTATCAAACACCTCCTGTTCTCCGGGTATCTTGACGCGGGCCATTACAGTGTTTTAGAGTATTATTAGATTTGTTACTGGATATTTTAATAAATTATTTATGACATATGTATTTGAATTAACTTACAAAGCATTTGAAACGGTTTTATCTAGGAACAGTGACTCAATAAGTGTTATTTCCTGTCATGGATTTAATGAATTTAGAAACTACAAGGATATTTAAATCGTTATAGATGTGTATTTTGACGCATTTTTATTTAGCGTCACGTCTTTTTAAATATATAAAATCATTAAACACAGGCTCGTGCGAGGCTCAACCCTGAGGCAGTGCTATCACACTCCGTCTGGGCCCTAATGGATTTTCTTTCCCATTTATTTGTCAAGGTAATCTACGTCTATAAAATATAAACCCAAGAAATACCCATTGTAACATCGCCATCATGTTACAACGGGCGATGGATTAAGGGAGCGTTCAAGTATTACGTAACGAATTTTGGGGGGGGTCCTTTTGTAAAACGTTACGATGCGGGACGGGGATTGAATTACGCGTTATTGTTAATATTATTTTCGACTTTCCAGTACTTTTCACCACATAGTGGTAACTTTTGGGTATAAAGAGTCACTGGGTGGTCACGAAACGTTTTACTATTGGGTACAGAAAAACGTTACGGCGCGTTACATGGGAGGGGGTCAATAATATCAAAAAATTGCGGCAATTCCTAATACTTATTAATTGGAAAGTATTTATATATATTATAATACTACAATGTATTTTATATATTGTTTAAGATTGTTATATCAAATCGTTTGAGACGAAATCGCTCTCAAATATTTATTTATGAATCTCTTTGGAAAACAAAGAAATAGAATATAAATTTATACGGGTTCATTGAATAGGAACAGTTTAAGTTAATCAAAGGCCCTTGACTTGTTGCTGTTTAGATGAGGGCATGTTCGTTGTGAGAGTATGGTGAGTAGTTATGTATGCAATATTACTGAATGTCTTTACTATATATGGTATCAGGTATGGAATAAAAGCAGAGTACCTACTTGAAATACTCCTTGCAGTTCTGATTATATTTATTAAGATTTTTGATATATGACAACATTGATATCTGTCTCTTTCTATCACAACGATAACTCTGCTTGGTCGAAAGAGACAAATGCCTAAATTTATTTTATACTGTATTAAACCGATTTCGATTAAGTCAAAAAAGACAGTGAAAATAGTCAATATATGTAAAAAAGTCGTCAGTGTGCGTAGCTGTGTTTGTGTGTACCTATCTGTTTGCGTGAGAGAAAGATGTTCATATAGAGTATAGACTAATGAATAGTCAGCGGCATTCATTATTATAGGATTACATTGCCATATTGGTATGAAATACTAATAGAAATCTGTAATTATTTTTTAAAAATAAAAACATTATTAAGGACCTATAGTATACATTTACGTAATTAAAATATTTAATTATTTTTAATTTTAAATGTAGCCTAGTTAAATATAATATATTTTTAAAAGAAAAAGAAATTGTGAGATTATAAATCTATTCGCTTATAACTTATTCAATTCATAGTTATATCTATATAATATATAAATGACTGTAATTCTATAATTACCATTTCTGACAAAATGAGCGAGTAACTTCACTTCTCTGTTTAATCAAGTATTTATTGCAGAAAATTCATATCAACCAAGCACTTGCGGCTATCTTCACACATAATAGTGTATGCAATGCAGCAGTGTGAAGTTGAGACGGATCGCTAGTTATTATAAGTTATGTGCAAAGTTTGTGATATCCTTGTAAAAATTAGGTCAGTAAAATGAGGTGGACTCGTTTGGTGTTCGTTCATTTTAATGAGAATACATTTATTTAATATGTATGACTCAACTTTGATGTTGGCGCTAATTTGTCGGACGTTCGATGACACATTCGTAAAGATTGGTGGTGAGATTATGAGAATATTATTGTTACGAAACTCAAAAATTAAATTTTTTATACGGTTTCCTCCAATAATACTGGCTTAAAGTCGTTATTCGTTGTTATCAACTGCATTGTTACGATAATGAAATATAATACAATAACTATGATTACTTATCACAGGCTACGATGGCTGTCCTACCTCCATAGTTTAAGAAACATCCATGGTTTAAGAAACTTTGTCAGGTGTACCCAACGAACCACCAAAAATATTATAACAAAAGGAAAAATAATGACGAAAAACCAAGAACAAAAAGCAAACTGCTAACTGTAATCTAAACCTAATAAAAAAATTATTAAACAGCTTGCCACAGGAAAGTTTGCACCTGCAGTCCATGGGAGAGTTGAATCGTTCATATACAAGAAGTGCCAAGTCAATAATTTACCTTCTACCGAATGCGGTTTGGTATTACTGAATCGTTTCGGAGAAAAACGTGAAAATGTAATTAGTCAAACCTTTAAGGGTATACAGGGTGTCCAAAAAAGGGTATCAAGCGGTGGTCCAGAGATAGAGGAATCCGAACATACATGGGGGTTTCATGTACGATTTTTGTAATTTAGGAGTTATCATTTTTTGGGACAGCCTGTATAATGATAATGACATCTATATGGCTTAGATTTGAGGACTTTAATCGCCTCTGGAAGTTATTTCATAATAGTTGTGTTTATCTCAAAATAGGAATTGTTCTCAAAATCGTTATTTAATTTGTTGTGGGTCTAATTAGATGTTAAACTAAAACTAACTTTATGGGTCTGACACCCGGCCATTTCGACTCAAAAAATATTTAATGTAATAATTAATAAACTATATATTTTCCCAGAGCATTGATAAGAATGGGTCTTTGACATAACATTGAAAAAACACCTTAAACGCCTCGCTTCTTTTAAAACTCGTAATCTCGCGTGCACATAAAAATATTGTATGCAATTTTGTGCGTTGAAGTGCCAGTAAACAATTGGTGAAAAACAGTAAGTGCGCAGTACGATCCCATTATTAACCTTTTGGTATACGGTTCGTAAGCACCCCACTTAGACTTTGCGTCGCGTATCATATGAGTCATATGACCAGTCATATGCACAAAAGTAAACACGATAATCTAGTTCGTGAATCAGTCATTACCGAGTACCAGTTAGTACAACCAATTGTAACTTAGTAATCCATATAACATATTATAGAAGCATGATGGGCAACACGGAGACATCGTAAAAGATCAGACGAGATAATATTAACGACCAAAGTAGATTCAATTTCAAAGCCTTTATTTCAACTAATACAAGAGAAAGTTCACAAAAATATGTAAAAAAAAAAAATCTTTAAGTATAACCAAAGTAGATATAAAGAAAATAAGGAAATTGAAACGGCGCTAGGGCACATGACGAGAGATAGAAGGTTGAAATGGAAAAAGTTATTTAACATTAGTTATTATAACGACAACCACAAGATGGAAAAAGGAAATGAGGAAGACAGAGCAAGATATGGGCAGACGATAAGGAGGCACAACTTGGACAAGAAGAGCTAACATTAGAAACGAATGGAAGCAGCTGGAAGAGCCCTATGTGTCACAGGACACGCTAATCACCAAAATCGACACATCTGATGTATTAGATTAAGTACTGGGTGCCAGCAACAAAGGCTTAATATTAACAATCCATAAGTTGCCCTTTGTATTTTTTTCACTGTTCAATGATGGACAGGCAAGTGAGCAGGTTGGTGGGCAGTGTGAGTATGTAATTAGGTCCCCCAGGCTGCCAATGCTGATGTCGCTGCTATGACCTCTTTAAAGTCGTTCAGTTCGATTAAGTTCGGTATAAGAATAAAGAGTGAGTGAACACACTGATATTGCAGCAATAACTATTTACACATTTACTTCCGGCATTGGCGGAACATTACCTGAAAACGACCTAGTATTTTAGAGCTTGTTTAAACCGTATATATTCGTGTTTGCGCTAATTAAATAAAGCAGAGTGGCTATCATAAACTCAGTATATCAAACGAATAAAAAGTTAAATGAATGAATAAAAGATCTAGGTAGGTAGGTATATATAGTTATAACGACATTTCAACGACAGTGGTAACAGCCGATGACGTTGTTATTAAGTACCTCATACATAGAATTCAGCCGGGATCTTTGATTTGGTCAATATAACCGGTATGTTGTTCTAAACCATTAGTCGTAAACGGTTTTGACAGTAAATTAAGTAAGACTTGTTTTACGTCTCCTAAAGAGAATATTTCCAGAATTGCATTTTCGACGCCTTTCGCGTTATAAAGAACAATAAACTATAATGCTATCAACGTTTAGATTAACCTATCAGCTGATTTGATACTATTACACAACACAAGCTTGATTGCTTTTGCAATTCTTTGCAATTCTTGCTTGGAAACCAACAGTTGTTTATGTTTTCTTCATATATTTTACAAGCATTGAATTAATTTCTTTACTACCATACAATATATGGCGCGTTGATCGCGCGAATTACCGGATCGGCAATATGAGGGGAACCCGATGTTGCAAAAAGGTTGTGAGCACCTAAACGGTCAAAGTTAAAATCATATATCACAGAATTGTACCTTTTAAAGCTACATGTCTATGATTTCAGTTTCTTTCTATAATCTTTATTATTATTATTTGTTTTACAATAATGAATGTTTTGCAAAGGTATTTTATTAAGCCAAATAAATGTATAACAATAATAATAATTTCCGCCGTAATTTTTAATCGACTGAATGGTTCTTCAGTATTCTTTTGTTCAGCGTAGATCATATAAAGGCCGTGTGGGCGCTAAGAATCGAGTATGTATTGTAATGACTACAATCGTCAACCTATATATATAATTGATGACTATTCAAAAAGACAAGGATTGGCTTACGAAATCCATGAAAACATACTTGAATATTATGGACTCGGAACCGACTTCCACTCATATTCATCCACCGTAAATAAATAATGTATGTATACGTAATTCTCTTTGTAATATAAATAAACAATACAATAAAAGTCAACAGAAATAAAATCTGCTTTTTTTAAAATGTTTTCTAGATAACTCCCCGACTACGTAGGTCGTAGTCGGATGATTAAAAAGATGCCC